CTTTTTCCAAATGTAGCCGTAAATACTTTTAAGAATGAGTTCAAATCATAGAGTAGTCGTGAATCTTTTTCCATCAAAGGTGTAAACCAAGAGAGAGCACTTCTAAATAGAAGTGCGCATATGAATCCAACTTGAGTAAATCCATCATGGTATTGGAAAGGATGCAACCTTAAGTAGAGTTTAACTTGTTGCAAAAACCCTCAAAATCTTAATCTTATTCCATCAAACTTTTCAGGCATATTAATCCTTACCTCCCTCGAGCTTGTAGAAGCAAAACTCTCAAAATTTGGTTGCGAGGCTAATCAACTTGTTTCCTTCAACTGCACAACTTCTTGGCGTAGACTCTAAACTTCTTCCATAGTAGTAGTAATAGTGCTTCCATGGTTGGTGTTGGTGATGCATAAAATTTTGGTCCTAAGAGTATTGACAAGCTCATAAAGATCTACAATAGTTGCAAATCTATTTTCACTTCTACCAAGTGTAGCATCCATGATATTTTCTTCCATAGACAGTTCAAATAAATTCAAAGGTTAAATAAGAGGAGTCTAATCCGTAACCTCTAAAAACAAATTCCACAAAGAAGGATAATCCACTCTCTTTAAGGAAAAGATCAATGTTAGAAAATAAGATTTTTTTGTTTAAAGGTGGATAGTCCACAACCTTCAAAATACAATAATAGAAGTGAAGTAATCCACTCACTTCTAGAACAAGACAGAAATAATATATTAGCACTCTTTTCAAACTATCAAGGACATGAACTCCAAAAAAAGATAATCTCAATTCACTCTTGTGTCACTCAAAAATACTTAGAAATCACTCAAAGGTGATAATATATTGAATTAGAATGGCTATTGCCAAAGACTAATAAACATGACGATTCTTGAAACTAGACTGGAAATAAGAAAAGAGTTGACAAAAGTGAAGAAGGCTTCACTCTTGTCTCTATATATACTATCTTACTAGGGGCTACTTGGCGACATTCTATACAACCTCCAATATGTGTTGACTTTGTAGGACACTTGCCTTGACTTACAAGGCAAGTTTTTTTACGTGTGGGCCACATAATTAGCTTTGTCTTCAAGCTAACAACATGTGTGGCACATGGCCAACTTGTTGACCACGTTTCTAATCCCAAAAAGTCAATTAAAGACACCCATGAAGTCAAAGCAGCGTCTATGAAGCTTTTAGGAAGCTTCTATATCAAATACTATAGAATTAACTTATTTTTTTCTACTTTAACTTACTTCTACTTATTTATATATGTAATTACTAGCTTACATGAGTATGTCCGTGAGACATGTTTTTCTTCGAATAGATGGCGAGATACAATGCATTTGGTATCACGACCTTGGAAGGGACTTCCGATGTTTGGTGATTTTACTAGAGGTAGGAACAACTTCCGATGGTATTCCAAATGTTTTATTCAAAGGAAGTTATGAAGGCCTCAACAATGATCAAATAATTGGATGGTCTTCTCTCCTTGGTATGGGACACTACTGATGGTTGAGAGGCCCTATCAATCATCTTTGAAGAAAACAAAGATTAGAATATGTAGCAAATACAATTCGTCACATCATAGATTTCCTCAACATATGATTACCGCTCCTCGTGGAACTCGTCTCTAGAAGGGGGGAGGAGATAATGTCATGGACATATGCATGTAAGCCAATAATTATATGTATAAATAGGTAGAAGTAAGTAAAAGTAGATAAAAGTAAGTTAATTATTTAATATTTGGTATGAAAGCTTTTTAAAAGCTTTATAGATGCTGCTTTGATTTTATAGGTGCCTTAAATTGACTTTTTGGGATTAGAAACGTGGTCAACAAGTTGGCCATGTGCCACACATATTATTAGCTTAAAGACCAAGCTAACTATGTGGCCAACACGTAGAAAAACTTGCCTTGTAAGTCAAGGCATGTGTCCTATAAAGTTAATACATATTGGAGGTTGTATAGAACGTCGCCAAGTAGCCCCTAGTAAGATAGTATATATAGAGACAAGAGTGAAGCCTTCTTCACTTTTATCAAGTCATTTCTTGCTTCCAATCTAGCTTCGAGGGTCTCTAGTTTTCTTAGCTTTTGGCAATAGCCATTCCAGTTTCTTTCTTAATATACATAACAAGTTATTTTTATTTTGTCATCTTTATTTGAGAGAAGTCTCACTTGTTTATTTGTCTTTATCATGTTCTTGTCCTTGATACCCACTTGTGCAACTCTTAGATTAAAATTTAAAAAGTCAATTGTTGCACTTCACAGCAAAGTCAATTGTTTGATTCAATGTTTGAGGATCAGATAAGTTGAGCATCAATTTCTTTATTTCATATTATAATCCATAGAAAAATTGGCTCAGAAGTGCAATATCATTTCATTTGATATTAGTTGCAAGTTGTTAAAATTGTAAAGCATATAATATTACAAATGAATTGCCTCGGTGCAAAATATGGATCTTATTAGTTACAACACGAGTTGCATCATGTTCTCCATACATGGACCAAAATTTTGTAAAAATGCATGTAGATTATCCAATATTTAATCTTGTCGTTCAAAAGAGTTGAAAACCACGATAGTATTGAACTTAAAAAAAATATATTAATGAATCTTACTTGTGATCCTGGAATTGGATAGCTTTGAGGTTGAAGTTCAATCACAAGTTGTACTTGATTGATAAATCCTCAAAATTTGGATCTTATACCATCAAACTTCTCAAGCAAGGCAACTCTTGGTTCTCTAATACTTGAAGGATGTTCCATCGTAGGTGGACGGACATGTTTTGGTGCAGATATTGAAGTAGCTCTAATCATTTCTATATCCTCACTTCCTGTCATTCTTATTGATCTTTGTGGTGGTAAACTAAGTTGATGCATTGCAAGCATCAACTTCATCAATTGCTCTTATATTTGTGCCATTGCATTCTTCATTTTAATAAGCTCTGCTATAATAACTTTCAAAAAAATATCTAATACTACTCAAGACAAGTAGAAGAAAGGACTTGAGGACAAAGAAAATACTAAGAACAATATCAATTTAGAAGAAGGTACTCTGCAACTTCTAATAAGCTTATGTCTTATCATGAGAAAGGAGTAATCTACTCTTAATTAAGATAAGACAAAGCTCTGATATTGTAAGTGTACTCTTGTCAATCTGTCAAGGATATGAACTCAAAGATGTTGCAAAAATCAATAAAATCCATGTCAAAGAAAAAATGACAAAATAGAAATAAGAAAGTACATATATTAAAAAAAAAACTCGAATGGGTTATTGCCAAATGACAAAAAAACTTGAGACTCTTGAAACTAGACTAGAAGCAAGAATAGAGTTGACAAGAGTGAAGAAGACTTCACTCTTGCCTCTATATATACTATCTAACTAGGAGATATGTGGCGATGTTCTATAGGACCTCTAATATGTGTTGACTTTGTAAGATACATGCCTTAGCTTACAAAACAAGTTTTCTACATGTGAGCCACATAATTAGCTTGTTCTTCAAGCTATCAACATATGTGGCACATGGTTAACTTTTTGACCAAGTTTATAACCTAAAAGTCAATAGTAGATACCTATAAAGTCAAAGCAATATCTATGAAGCTCGTAGGAAGCTTTCTTAGAAGATATTATAAAATTAACTTATTTTTACCTACTTCTATCTACTTCTACCTATTTATATAGGTAATTATTGGCTTACACGTATATGTTTGTGACACCATGAATTATTTTTGGTGTCAAAAGTACTTGATAACTTCAAAGACAATATTTAGAAGAATATAAAATATATAAAATAAAAAAGTAGAAAAGGCATACATATTGAGACTATAGTAAGAAGATCTATATTTTAAAATAATCAATAATTATCCTTAAAAATATATATATAAAAAATATCTATGACAAATTAAAGATTACAAATAAGTTTTTGAGGTAATTAATTAATTAATAATAATAATAATAAGAACTCAATATATTGTAACAACTTAAATCTATAATTATATATATATATATATATATATATATATATAATCAATTAATAGAATCTTGTATTATTGGACACTACAATCTTGGGCACATCTATCCATTCCCTTGTCCATTTAAGCTTCTTTGTTCAATTGTTCCATCTTTTCTACATTCCTATGTTTGTATATTTCCATATTTCCATATTCTCTAGTTCCATGTTCCTTGGTTTCTTTATTCTCATATTCCATAATTTCCATCTTCCACTAGTTCCTTGCATTCTCCCTATTTCCTTCTTTACAACCAATTAAAAGACTTATCTATCTTTTTGTATTATATCCACACTATCATATATAATAAATTTTTATAATTTTTTTCATATGGATATAAAATAATATTTGTATGAAATTGAAGATAATATTTAATTTGAAGTGCATCTAATATGTAATTTTGGATTCATAGTTTTATATTTTGATTGTTGTATTTGTTATTTAATTATAAAATTATAACAAAATTATGAATAAATTATATACATATTTATTTATATATAATCTCTATTCTGATTGGAATAGATATGGCAATGGTTGCTTAATCCAAAACACATTGACAAGTAGGTCTATTATTTGTCAACTAATTTGCATCATTGTTTAAGAATGTGCATATATGATAAGATGTTTTTCTTAGAAGAATTATATAAAATATCAGACACTTTCAGATAAAACATCTTAAAAAAAGGTTGTGTAAATAGTATTTTTGAACTTCAAATAAATAAAAAGTGAAAAAATAAAAATGTTACTATGCAGTAATATAATCTAACTATTATTTTACAAAATAATGATATTTTAACTCTTTGCAAGTTATTTTAGACTTAGAAAGATGAAGAGGTGGGAAATTAGCACTATCTATCATTATTTTTAAATAGATAAAATGAAAGCAAAAGAATACGGCGGTGTGGAAGACCCTTCTTCACCAAATATCGGGCCACCCGCATCTTTCATTCTGCGACGTGAAGGGAAAGAATAATGCCCTCCGGGTTGTGCTTTTCCAGTGCAGAATGTGCACAGCCCAAGGTCCTACTCCGCGAGGCATAACAGGCGGGGGGGTGGCTATCGGGCCTTGTTGGGTTGGTTGGGTCATTATTATGATTATTATAACTCATATTTTGGTAGTATTGGTTTTTTGGTGTTTTGTTTTGTTTTTTTTTTTTTTTTTTTTTTTTTGTGCTGGAGCTAGGGTGGAAGGAGGAAGAGGACCAGTAAGAGGAGGAGGAGGGAGAGAGAAGGGAGAGGACGAGGAGGACGACGACGACGACGAGGGTGTTGTGTTGTGTTTGTTGGTCATCGACACGCCATTGCCGAAGTTGTTGCTGGTCGCCTTCAATTGCTCCACCGCTACACCACACCACGCTCAGTTTCTCATCACTTGGAACTCTCTCTTCGTCGTCACATCTCCTGAATTGGTTCTCATCGCCGCGCTGCTGTGCTATGCCCCACTAATCTGCTCGTTCCCAGCGTTGCATTGCATTGTAGTTGGAGTTTGCGTTGGAACCTCGACGTTTGCTGGTAAGCTAATGCTGCGACACTCTTGCTATGTTCCTTCCCTCCTCCTTTTATTCCTTTTTCGTCTCGAGAATTCGATGTAGGTGATGTATTGCTGCCGTAGCTCTGTTTTGTGTGTAATTTCGGGGATTGTGTTAATTGTGAGTATGATTTTGGGTGTGAACGAAGCGGCTGGTTAGGGTGATAATAAGGGTCCAAGAGAGGTGTTCGAAAGATCGATGGATCTTCTTGATTGAAGGGCTTACAAGTTAGTGCAATTTCGGTATTGAAGGATTTTGTTAGGTCGTTTGAACAGTATTATTGGGAGCAATTTTATTATTCTTGTGTCTTTCGGATTTTTATGGTTTTTCAGATGTATGGTTAGGTTTTAGTTTAATTTTATTTATTTTTGGTCATGAGGTGTATAAAATTAGAAGTGCTGATGTAGCCGGCACACCCTTTTCCGCTTCCTGTATGAATTTCTTAGAACGTAGGTCTGCATAGGAAATTTTCATTGTCGAACCCCGTGGTCCTTTGTTTGATCTGGTGTGTACTCGAGGATGGTGGTAGCTATATAAGAGTAGTTTATACAATTCAAGTTCAATTTTATCTTTGAACATATTTATCGTTAACGGGGAAAGTTGTGGCTTTGATCATGATCTTGCAATCTTTCTTGAAATTTGAGGCTCGTAGATCCTGAGTTAGGAAGAACGTTCGCAAGAGTTGCTTTGATAATAGATTGGTTTGATTACCATTTTGGGCTTTCAGGAATCCTTGAAATTCCCTAATGGTTCATGAGTTAGTCCTGAACCTGCACTTGATGTCGACAGACGACTGTGAACTAATGGTGTCTGTTCAGCTTGTACATTATCTTGCTCGAGGATAATGTAAATTTCGACGGGCGTTCCCTTTCGCTTGAATGCTTGGATTGGAGAAGTGTTTGTTCTCTCGAATTGTGTAGAAAGGGTTTAAGGAGAACTTGATGGATGGTTTGCCATTTTTGTTATATATTTGCACCCTACTTATTCGACAGGCGGTGTGTTTCTTTTGTGCGCTTGTGGGGCCATTCTCTTTACTTACATTAACTATTCTCAAGGCTATTCCTGCACGTAGCTGCTTGAGGGCCTTAGTCAGCTGATTCCTTGTCTTGAACCTCTTCCTTATTGCACAAAGCACTATGTTTACATTTCACCTCTCGCGCATGGCCCTCACAGTATTTCCTGCTAATTTCTCACACTCCACCTTGTGGTGGCCTTTCCAATGTCCTTTCTGGCCTTCTCCCCTGCCTTTTCTTTCTGTCTCAATTTCTCTGCCTCAATTTCTCTTCCTCAGCTGCACTCCAAGCTCCTATCTAGGTGATTATCTGTGGTTCTTGGAAGACTTGGAAGGTGAACATGTCAGGCGCAAGTGCATCGCCAGAGGATCTACACGATGAAGAGCAGGTTGACATAGATGGAGCGGTCGATCTAGATGAAGAGGTTGACGATACTAATGCTGACCATGACGATGAAGAAGTTGAAGAGGAGAAAGCTCAGGGTTCAGATCTAGACGTAGACGTGGAAGCTCAAGAAGGGGACGATGGCCAGGAAGACCAGGATATTGATGATTTAAATGGAGATCATGACCATCAGAGTACGGAGGCTGAGCTTGATATCGAAGACACTGACGCCCACGTGGATGCCGATTGTGCGATAGCGGAAGACAAGGAAGAAAAAAATGCTGAGAAGAGCGGAGAGCTTCTCAAGCGGCCTCCTCATGGCTCAGAAATTTTCGTTGGAGGTATTACTCGGGACACAACAGAGGAAGATCTACGAACACTCTGCTCCAGTTGTGGTGAGGTCTATGAGGTATGCAGAATTTGGTACGAAGGTCGTGAAATTATGTTACTGGAAAAGGGTAAAATTATGTGTGGAAACTCTTTGTCATGCTGCTCTCCATTGTTTTGAATAATGAATTGATACTTCGATGGTGAAGACCTCCTAATTTCTTCTTACTAATTGTCTTTTGCAAAGGAACTACTTGTAGTGCTAGTTGCAGCAGTCCAGCACGTGTTAGCTTCTGTTCTGTGCAGCTAAGTAATTTAGGATCAGTCTTGACTATCTTTATGTGTGTGTGGTTGTGTGGTAGGCCATTCACTACATTACTTCCTTAGGATTTGCATTTGACTGTAATTTGTAATGCTGACCAGGTTCGTCTTTTGAAAGACAAGGATACGGGTCAAAACAAGGGTTATGCTTTTGTCACATTCATGAACGAGGAGTATGCGGAAAAGGCCATTGAGTTATTGAATGATTCAGAAGTGAAGGTAATATCATGCTTTAATCCTCTCAGTTGAAGCAAGTATATTCAATTGTGGCATGAGTTGATTCTGGTGAGTTCAGTCTGGTCATTGTGCTACTATAATAGCTCTACTCCAGTTATCGAGACTCCTGACATCCGGATTTGGCTGTAATGCAGGGGCGGAAACTCAGATTCTCTCAATCGCAATCAAAGCATAGACTTTTTGTTGGGAATATCCCCAAGACGTGGGAAAAGGAGGAACTGGAAAAAGTACTAGGTGAACAGGGGCCTGGCATACAAAGTGTTGAACTGCTCAAGGTACTGTCTTTTGTACCACTGCATACTAATTTGCATTTTTCTGTAGCACAATTGTAGTCGCCTTCCTGCTCCGCCTGCATGCATTCTATAGTATCATCATATTCACAATCTTACATCATTTTGTGGGCGTTGAGCTGTTATTGTTCTTAAAACCTTGTTGTGCTAAATGACATGGTCTGCAGGATCCGAAGACCCCTGGGAGAAATCGTGGATTTGCCTTTGTAGAGTACTACAATCACGCTTGTGCTGAACATGCCAGACGTGAAATGTCTAAAACAAGCTTTCGATTAGAGACTAATGCTCCTACTATAAGCTGGGCTGATCCACGAAATGGGCCTGACGCTTCTGCAATGTCTCAGGTTTCTTCATTCTCAGCTTTAATCGTTCGAACCTACTTATGTGGGTCTGTAAATGCTGCTGTAGAACTTGTCTTATTTCAGCTGTAAGATCAAAGTTGCACCATGTTTGTTTCACTTGATAAGTCTGGTAGCCGAGGTCTGTCCTCCCATTTTACTGGGAGGCGCTAATTGAAAATTCTTTCTTAGTATTTATCTTGACCATTGACTGGCTGGTGATACAAGGCTGTTAAATACATTGGTCCATTTTTTTTAAGTGAATACATTTTTAATCAATAAACATGATTGTAAAAGATGATTAACTAATACGGTAATAAGCAAGGTGATTTGGTTTCGTTATATTAGCTTACACACTAAAGCTGCAAGTTGTATGTGCTTCAGGTCAAAGTTGTGTATGTACGAAACCTGCCAGATAGTGTGACTGAGGAGCAGCTACAGAAGTTGTTCGAGCGCCATGGTGAGGTTACAAAGGTGGTCTTACCTGCATCTAAACCTGGTCAAGCAAAGCGTGATTTTGGATTTGTTCACTTTTCTGATCGAGCACAGGCTCTCAAAGCTATCGAAAAAACAGAAGTCTATGAACTGGAAGGTAAGTTGTGCTTTTTGCTTGCTTGCTTTCCATTTATTTGGTTGACATGTGTAAGTGCTAATAGTGGCTGCTTTGGTCGGAGTGTTTCTTGAATTATTCATGGACAATGTCTCATTGTTTTGAACTAGGCCGCACACTTGAGACATCACTTGCAAAGCCCCCAGCGGAGAAGAGGCCCATTGGTATGGAGCCTGCATATCCTCCGCAACGAGCTGGTCTGCTACCACAGTATCAGAGCAGCAGGGGTGGCTACGGTTATGGAGGCGATGTGTATAGCAATGTTGGTGGTGGCTACGGTCAAGCCCGGGGTTATAATCAAGTATGTATATAGCAGATATTCGGAATCAAGATTGGCATTTTGTTTTTTTATTTTTATTGCCTTCCCCATCAGTATCTTCAGAAGCTCTTTAAAGTTGGAGCTTGTTTGCATGTGTGGTACCATAATACTCCCTTGATTTTAACTCGTTAGGATGGTTGATGTGTGCTGAAGCTTTGTTGTGCTTGTAAATATTAATGCAGCCGGTAATTTACGGGCGTGGCCCAGCACCCGCTGGCATGACCATGGTACCTATGATGCTTCCAGATGGCCGTGTTGGTTATGTTTTGTAAGTTCCCATTCTCTATTTTCGCGTGTTTCCTTCTTTGCTACAAGTGAATGGATTGGCATGAGGTCTTCATCTCTTTAATTCTTCAGTGAGATATGGTAACTCAAACATTGATTTGTGCAGGCAACAGCCGAGTGGTGGACAAGGAGGACCTGCCCCATATCGTGGTGGTGGGGGTCGTCATGGATTATTGCCATTTAGACAGAGTGGCGGCAATGGTGGCGCTGCTGCGTCTGGAGCTGCGGGAGGCCGTCGTTATCGCCCTTATTAAGATGTGCTCATGTTGATTCAGTAAATCTTGCTAGTATCCGAACTCATGTTTGGATGGTTTTCTCGTGGAGCAAGCAACGAATGCAGCTAACTGCATTGCTTTGAGGTCCCAAATGATTCATTATGTCGTGATTGTTAACGATATCAGTCATAAGATTGGATCTTATCATGAGAGAATTCACGCAACTGTAAGAGAACAGGAACGGTTTTAACTATTGACAATGTCATTTTGTACGATCAGTTGGGCTTGTTTGATCAAAGCTTAGAGCTGCATTGAATCCTACCGTTTTCCAGACAGCGTCTCCAGTTTCGGGTGTAGATTATCCAAGTGATACCTTTAATTTAGGCATTATCTGGTGCTTTTACATATTCGCCACAAGTTGAGCTGTGATTTCAGTGGAGATGTTCTTTAAAATCTAATTTTGCTATATGATGACTTTCGTTTAAGTTAATTTTGTAATTGGTATCCTTGAAGCGTGCCAAGCTATGATGCACTCTTAGTTTTGTATGTGAGCTTACTTTCAAGGTTATGCTTGTGCATAGAAGCCGTTGTGGCATGTAACCAAATTAATTGTGTTAATTCAAAAAGTCTCAATTAAATACTAGTTTAAAATATAAAAACGTAACGCTCATATATGGTTTGTTAAGGGATGGTTTGAGAACAATTATTGGTGCTAGTCTTGATTGGTTTACTTATTAAATGAGAGCTTGTTTTCCACGACATAAATTCAACATTAGGAAAGACTAGTAATCTATATTAGATAACGAACAATTTACATGTACTTGTCTTGCAAGGATGGCAAGTAAGTGAGCAATGTATGAAACAAAATATGGTGGTAAAAGCATTAAAAACCTTGAATTTTGTTCACAATTATATATAACCAACCAACCCCACAAAAGTAACACTAGTTTCTTTCATTCTCAACACTTCAATATTCTGCTTACTTGCAACGGAAGGTATCTCTTGTGTGAAAAAAAAAAAGAAAGGCGCAATCAATAGCAGTCCCAATAAAACAAAACTTAACCGAAACATCTTCACAGATCGCATTCTTCAAAGCAATTCGCAAGCAGTGTGGGGATCAAGACCCTTATCAATACCACGAGCACAAATAAATTTTGCAATGTGCAATGGAGACTGAAGCACTTATCATGCTTTCAAAGCTAGATGCTCTTCCAGTTCTTACGAATTTGTTTCACAAAAGAAACATCCAAGTACCAGTTGCAAAAAGTAGTATCCTCTCCGACCGAAAATGCACTGGGATCATTTACGATTCTTGTGGTAGACTGGGCACTTTCATCCTCCACGTTTGGCAGATGAATGATAGCAAGAAATTCATTGAGGGCCCAGAATTGGAGTGGCATAATTTACATAAGACATAAAATTCACACAAACCATGTCCAAGAGACAACTATGTTGTCACAGATGCTTGAAAAGAATGAGATAGAAAAGTCTCCTCAAGTGCTGGAAGATGCTGCACAAACGAAGTGTACAGCCTTGTCCCCAAATTCATTTATTGATACAAAAGTAACATACTTATCCTTCAACCTTGTCCCGCTTTCTCTGTAAAGTTCCTCAGCTGCTGCTTAATTGTCTGCATTTACACAAATGCACCTCACTCATTAAACAGCACCTTCGACACACATTTATTGCACTAAATAATAACAAAATCGGCAGTAGAATCTACTTTGAAGCTTCACAAATTTGCAACATGAGAAGTACAATACCAGGCCAGTGCTCATGGTGGTCAACCTCAGATAAAGCTCAGAAGTTCACAAAGGGATTTAGACCTCAGAATTAGGTCAAAGATCTAACCTGGAGTTCTTCATGCAAAATGTCGAAGGTCTTCTGCATACGTTTGAATTCCTGTATCATAATCACATGTCCCACTTCGATTAATTAGGACTACCCCTACCATTCCTGTTGACTAATTTTAACACACCCCAAAAAAATTAATCATCTTAATGCATTAAAAGTGCAGCTCTCAGGAAGTAAAGGAGTAGCGAGAGATCAAGTTCGGCGGAAAATAATTCTAAATAGAACTTGCTGAACTTCATAAGGAAAATGACAATCTTACTAAATATTCTCTAAGTAGAAATGTATAGGATTTTCATTTCTATTATCAATATACTTTAAGCTAGCGACCTAACCTCCACCTACGATACTTCCACAGAGACCATATGTCATGAGTAACACCTCAACATGTTGACTGACCTTTCTAATCGCGTGGAATTCTCTTCGCACTTTGGAACTGATCTGTTGCAGCTTATCAGGATGCTGCACCATTTCTCGCTTGAACGAAAGGAAATTTTCCCTGCAAGTGTTAAAAACACATCCGACGAATTAGGACTAGGGCATATAAGAATGAGACAATATGCCGAGGCAAAACTGGCAGCCAAAGAGGAGAAACGACAAAACGCATATCAAGATACATTTTCGACACATTTCGAAGTCAACTTCTCATTAGAGGGATTCCTCGTTACAAACTAATGTGAATCACTGATGCGTCAAGAGAAATAAACCTTACGATTAGTATTTAAAATGGCACTAAAGGCATAACAAATTCTTCGCATGTCAACCTCTCGAGGACTAGCACCAATAGTCATTTGGCTCTGAAAGAAAACACAATACACCAAAGGACGTAAAACTATTCATTCACTCTAGACCAAAAACTAGAGCTCCAAACAACAAAGTCTAGAGTTCTCACTTGTTTTTCTCAAGGTCCTTGTGGAGACGAAGATACACAGAATATTTGGTTTGGTATTCCTTCCTGTATGCTTCAGCCCTGCATACATAAACAAATGAGGAGTAATGAGAACCAAGGAACCAATAATTACAAATTCAACCAAATACGATACATACAATGTATACACACACGCACACCAAAAATAATATAAAGAAAATATGAAAAATACTTGATTACACACGCTAACAGCGAATAACAGAAGGAAGCAGAAAGATAACGCAGGATGGCAATGTAGTCAGGAAGCTCCAATTTGCATCAACTAGCGAACTTACTCTTCGTTAGACCTAACGGGTCCTCGCAAATCTGGAGTGACCTTCTCATACTGAGCAAAATACTGCTTCCTGGAAACTTCTTCAGGACTTGATGAAGTCTTCAGACGTTTTCCATTGCTAAGCCCTAAATCAGATTGAAGATTGTCCTTTTTCTTGTCACCTCCAGGTCCAAGCAAACCTGCACTTGTCTTAGATTTCCAATCACGGCCCCTTGGAGGTTCTAAGACTTCCTTTGCAGAAGCTTTGTGGCCTTTACCCATGGGTCTTTGTTTACGACCGTTTTCCCCGCTGGGTGCTTTCCCACTAGGACCGGCTAATTGAGTTAGTCCATCGGAAGATCCTCCTCGCCCAGTCTCAGGATTTTGAGACTTGTAAGCTAAATCAGGGCTCGCCTGTTTTTTCTCCGTCGACTTTACAGCACCCAAGTCTGAATTACCTCGATTGGCGGACGATGGAGGTGCAACAGGAGCAATAGAAGGTTTTTTGTAAGCCCTTGTAGGTTCATTGCTGCCTTCTTCCAATGACCGTTTGACACCCCGGGACTCCATCGGCCTATCAAAGGTATCAGTAGCAGCCCTACCATTGCGACTAGAATTACCCTCAGACCTCTCTTCCACTTGACTAGAAGACGGAAATTTTCCAAAACCGGTGCTACCGCGAACATCCCTAGATACATGAATGTTCTGAGTATACTGGGCAAGCTTTTGGGATGAAGGTTTTCTCAAGTCTCCAGCCAGTCTTACAGGAGAAGGCCTTCTCAAATCACCAGCAGTAGTTCCTGGAGAGGGTTTCCTAAAATCTGCTACTGATTTTACGGGGGAGGGTTTTCTTAAATCTCCTGCCTTTGCAGGGGAAGGCTTCCTTAAGTCTCCTCCAACTTTAGGCGTACCTCGACCTTTCTCCCTTGCTGGGCTGTTTTGAGATGGTCTACTAGCACCCGATGTCTCGATCGCAGCTCTAGATTTCAATTGATCACCTCGCAAGCTATCCCTCCCTCTACTCTCCCCTGGTAACTGCTCTATACCTGGCGTGCTTTCTCTCCACTCACCTGACTCTCTATCTAGACTCTCTCTACCTTTTTTCTCAGTTTGTCCACTCGCACTACCAGACAAGGACCCTTTTGGACCTTCCTGCCTAGTGAGCTCTTTTCTACCTTCCCTAAGCCTGTTGACCATTACCTCACTATCATTACCTAAGGTCGCTCCATCCACATCTCTCGTCGGCTTCCCCCACAACTCTGAATCATTCAATGAATCACTCCTTCTCGCTGCTTCTGGCTCATTACTAGCTCTTCGCATGTTCTTCAGCTGTCTACTACTGAACACGTTACCCTCCGTTTCTCTACCCTGCGGCCGTCCCAAGTACTCTACATTCTTCCCCGGTTTCCCAAGCAAGCCAGCATCAGGATTGTGACGCCAGGGTCCATCGCGGAGAGGCCTTGAGGAATTATACGGAGCCTCAGCTTCAGCATCCCTTCCTAAAAGTCCTGAACTCTCACCGTCTCTTGAGACTCTGGCAGCAGACTCCGGCGTAGCACCTACGTTCGATGCATGCAGAGGTTCGACGGGCTTAGACATCCGATTGGGCTCGGCCGACTTACCAGGCCTGGGCCGAGGCCGCACAGGTGCTTCAACAAGCTTGTCCACAAGTTCTTCGCTCTCAGTTTTAGAATCCTTGGAAAAGGACTTTCGAGCTTCAGAATTAACCCGCCTCTTCGAAGCATTTTCTTTGGTCCGCCGAGGACTACTTTCCATAGCATCCTTCTTCAATGCAGGAGAACTTAGCGAGGATTTTGTACCGGTTTCAGGTCGTGAGGGAGAGAGACTCTGAGCTGGAGAATCCTTTGTAGGTGGTTTCGTATGAGATTGTGTTAGAGAATCCTTTACTGAATCTTTGTTGCTAACATTGGGAGGCGTGTTCTTACGGTTGATCGCCATGCTGTTGATACGTCCCTTCAGCGTACCGGATAGCGAGGGATGTTTGTGGACTTCGGTAGACTTTCCAATACTAATATCCTTCTCCGTCCCGACTTCCCCAGTCAATGCAGGTTCTTCCTTGGGAGCACTTGAAGTACTCCCTCGTGCGATGGGTCTGTCAGACGAATTTGTGTTCTCATTTTTACTCACGGATATATTTGCAACCTCTCTTTTGATTTCCTCCGCCTGCTGCTCTGAAGTCGGAGTAGCAGAGCCCAATTCTTGTGGTGAATCAGCGCCGCCCACAGATATAACATCTACCTCCAAGTCGGGATCAGCAACGTCCTGATCCAAATTTTCTACCACCACATTGGCTCTTGCTCCTGGATCAACCTCAGGGTGAACTGCCCCATCATAGCTCCCAATGTCGATCTCCTCTGATTCCTGAGTCACAAGCTTCTCCGGAGGTTTCTGCTTTGCTCGTTTCGCATCTTTCGACTGATGAGATGCCTGCTTTGTGACGACCACAAGAATTTAATGAATAGTTCTTCGAAGACACATTTTTCAAAGATATTTTGCAATGCAAATTCAAACACAAAATAAATACATGAACTGTGCGCACTAACATCTACGCAACAATTCGAACTTTTCCATTTCTTGGTAAAACATTAGAATCAAACGATTTGGAGCCTGAACAAAAAGATAAACCTACTTTTTTTCTCTTCGGAAGTGTCCATAGACCAAGTAAGGATAGGACCAAGACCAAGTTGAAACCTAATAAAGCGGGTGCAAAAAAAATCTAATACCAATAACTTTTCTGCATTACGAGCACAATCTGAAAAATTTCCTACACTTATTTTGAGGAAAAAATAATTGCTTGAGTCAATGATTCTTGTTCCTTACCTTCTTTTTGTCGTTTGATTTAGGTTTTTGAGGTGGATCATCTCCATCTTCGTCGTCGCTAACAATTTCAACATCTTCATCCATGTTCTCATCCTCACTGTCACTGCTGCTCCCATCACTGTCACTGTCACTCCCACTGTCGCAACAAGTAAGGATTCATCAGCAAACTCATGAGAGTAAAAGTACCAAGAATCCCAGAAGTACGACGTTAAACATAATAAAGAGAATATTTAGTCAAATGATCTTGGATGAGAAATTTCATTTACCTAGTCCCGCTGCGACTATCACCACTATCTGAGCTTTCAGAATCACTATCACTGGAGGAGGCGGAACTGCTACTTTCGCTGCCAACACTATTCGCAGGCTTCGCTTTCTCCTTCGGTGAGTTGGGAATAGACTCATTTCCACCTCTTCGACTGTCTATTTCACTGTCTTCATTAATATCTGGGTGATTTTCACCTTCTGTAATCTCGATCTCTCCACTCTCACCACCGCCTACACTAATTTGCTCTGTATCAACCTTTACATCATCCTTTGCAACTTTACTTTCAGGATGTTGAGCATGAGTGGTAAGAGTGATTGTATTATGATCTGGATGAGACTGTGGCTGGGACTTCTGGTAATTTTCATTAGCTTTGCGTATTGCACGACTCACAGCATTTTCATGATGCTTTGGAACAATCGCAGAACCTTTCCAGGCTACCGGAGCGTGAAGTGAACTGGGCTTATCTCCCAGTAAACCAGTTTCGCTACGACGCACTCCATCAGAACTTTGGTCGTGATTTGAGGTATCAGCCACGTCTGGCAGTGGAGGAGAGTCAACAAGCGGTGGAGAATCAGCAGCTGCATCATCATGGGAGCTGATGACAGTGAAAGAGTGAGTAAGTATGAATTCTCACATGATAGTATAGTGCCGGCAACTGAACACAATATCAAATACAATCATGAACTGATCGGATATTCACACCCCTTAACAATCACAACAGTCCATCATAGGCAAAATGTACTCTTAACAAAGTGGCTAAGGAATAATGATACGTCCAAAAGGATGGATAAGAAATCCAAAATTCACCCACCTTCCACTGTTTGGGGAGAGTTTGGAATATGTCACTCCCTCCTTCAGTATGTACTTTCCCGGTGCATGATATGATGCAATCTACAAAGCATTAGCTTAAAATAATTCAGTTGATCGTGAATTCAGTTCGCCATACATTCCAACCCAAACTGAACTCCTGCAGAATCCTAAGTTGCTGCAATTAATCTAGAAGATGGAATGTACCATTTCACAACATGCACTAAAAATGCCATTTGGCTTCATGTTGAAGCTCAGAAATCCTCAAAATGCAGAAGTCAGCATAAACTTACAGCTCTAATCGCCTTCTCAATGGTCTTCTTTTCAGGTTTGACATATGGAGTTGATTCTCCAAGGGCTTTCTCCACTGCCTGCAAAACGACGTACAGCATCACAAATCTCTCTTTTACATAAATAACTATTAAGCGGTCACTTAACGAACTTTCACATATGTTACATCACAAACACAACGAGCCTACCTTGAGGGTCAATCCTTTTGGGTTCTCTGTAAGCAGCCCAATGAGGCAGTTGCGCAGCTCACTTGCACTAATTGTATTTCCAGGTTTGCCAAGACCAGCAGTATCTGGGGTAGTCGTTGCGGGACTTGGTGTGTTGTCCATCGGAATCAAAGAGGACCTGCTGGGAGCGGCGCTCTCTTCTGCAACTGCCTTCCCACTAGGTGGCGGCGGCGGAAGAGATGATGTTCTATTAGGTGCGGGAAGCTCTGGGGAGGCCACTAAAGCAGCCTTCGCATCCTTAGCAGCCTTCGCACTAGCAATTGCTGAAGCTGTTGATACCACTAGCTTTTGTATTGCAGTAGGTGCAGAGGGACGAGAAGGACTTCGAACTGGTAGTAATCCACAGAAGAATATTGGTATCAATAGGCTTTAGGTTGACGCAATCCACAAGGACTTCGACAATGTGGTTAAATACCCTCGAAATGTCACAAGATTATATGGAATGAGCTCTCAGAAGAAATAACACGAAACGTGGATCACACTCAAAATTTATAAAAAAATCATTGAACCATTAATTGAAGCAATCTGAAGAAGTCTATGGCACAGCAGGGGTGCTTGACATTACTGTGATGGCCAAACTTAGAGAACATCACATTGAATTCTGATGCATTCAAGCAAGATCAAAAACTTGGCATCACATTTAACTGATATTACACCTTGTGTGACTGAAGACAAGAAGCAGGGTTGTACAAAACACTGTCATGATTTACGATGTAGGTGTAAATTTATGTTCAACTTGACACACCTGATAGACGAAATGTAGGTTGTTGAAATATACATTATCTACTGTTCTTCGTGTGTAAACAAATTGCACCCATTAACAGCATATCCTTCTCAGGTACCAACCCTAACCCCAAACTGTAAAACACGCACTTGGGGATATATCCAGTCTAGCAAACATATTTGTCTGACAAACTGAGCCAGGAAAACTCCTAATCTGCAAGTCCACAAACACTTGAGTCAGAAAATGATTTAGGACCACACAAGACTCAAAGGAGAACTTTACCAGGGCTATTGGGCTTGAGCTTCTTCCTAGGAGGCTCCACCTTTGGCTTCATGAGTGGTCTCCTGCCCATTGCTGCTCAACACCATGCCAAATTGTCAGACACCACAGACCAGAAGTTATACTGATAAAGAAATTGAACCTATCAATTCGCTTCAAGTGAAAAAACTGAAAAATATATACCAAGTCGATTATTCAGGTTCGGAAAACAGTTGCATGTTTCATCCTAAACAATAAGCACTTTCTCTGAAAAAGAGACTAAACCAGATGTGCGCAGTAAAAAGGATTCGTGTTTTAGAACAGAACATGTATCTACTTAAGGTTGAATGCATTCCAGGCTGGGAGGGATTCCAAAATCGCTTACCATCGCCAGCAATAGAAGAATTCTGGGTCAGCTTTTGAGAATGGGTTGGATCCAATATGATTGCTCTGTAATCATCGAGAATATAAGCTTTAGATGTGTTACTAAACGACTGCCCCAGTACGTTCCAAAAGACCACACTCTGTGAAATTATACTTCATTGATAGGCTCAATTTTATTTCTCAAATGCATGCTCATCATATTGAGAAGACTGCTACTTGTGTATGGGTGCAAGATGACAAGACGAAAAACCAGACTATCACAGCTGCAGGATATGATCAAGTAATATAGTTAAACAAGAGAGAATACTGGCCAAGTGCCAAAATACTAGATCTACGCCATCTTACAAAATACAATTCAAAGGAATGGAATTTCTTAACCAATAAATCCTCCCACAATCTGGCAAAAATCAGTGAGGGGACTGTACACAGACGACAAATCACGAGATGCGAAAGGGTCAGGCTAGGGGTTGGAAACCTACAAACAGTGAAACATCCAAGGATTCAGTATTCAATCGATTGCCGATGGATAGTTTTATGATGCCTACTTACTTGCGAGATTTTTGTTGTTGCTGAGCCTCCACGGATCGTTTTTTCACACGATCCTTCTCACTTGCGTTCAGGGTTCTAAGCACTGATAGCTTGCGCCACACTGATCCGGCTTCCTTCAGTTTACCATTCCCATCCTCGCCCCTTCGTTGCTCCTCGAAAATATCACACAAACCTCCGTCTTCAGGAGCCGAATTGAATTTGAATTCCTCGTCTCCAATTTTTAATACCTGCCGATGACCCCCCAGCATATACCGGTAAGAAGAGGACAAATATAAATAAACTTGAGTCCACTTCTTAAGCTAGCTGCACTACCCACATTAAAATGAAAGATTGAAGAGTGCCTGTCCTTCCAAATAGAGCACGAGAAGATCAACAACCGCATAAACTAAATATCCGATATCCATCGCATATGCAATTTACAGCTGTTTATGAAAAAAGTGAGCATATTAGAATCTAGACTTTCCAAAAAAAGGATGCCGAATTCAAAAAAAATAGTTACAAGAATGCCTCACTCCAGAAACCCAACAGACTTCCATCCATGTAAGATCCCCCGAATAACATGATCAGGAAAAATTATAATATTGGCATTCATTACGATGCTACTCAAACTTTATCACACACGACATCCCACATTGTAAGAATTATCGAGTTCATTGCTCATAGGAAAGGCCGTCGACCACATTAAAGAGAAACCATGTAGAGTATCAACCAATCAGGACATATAAACTTCAAGTAAAATAAAGCTACTGCCTCCAGTGCGATATGTGACGAACAGCTGAGTTGAATGAGAGAGAAGAGCAGGATGGCAATAATTGAGGAAGAAGGAGAGTTGCTTGAAGTCGAGACAGACTACATGACGGGGAATGGATGACGTCAAGTGTGGGAAATCGAAAATGGCCGTTGCAGGGTAGAAGACCCACAAGGATAGGAGGTTTCTGAGCTCATCCAAAAGAAAATATATAATTTACAATATCACCTCCGGAATCGTCCATGTACCAAGAAGGCAGTACTATGAATCATGTCAGGCCCGTGGCGGAACCAAATTGGAAAAAGAAAAATTAGCAATTTTCCTAGCCAAGTGATGTGCACATAACACGAGAGAAAATCATCTTGGTCGAAATTCTATGCCACGAAAATCTAAATTATCAAGCTCAGTCAAAAATAAAAGTAAAAAGATTTCAGCACCAGTGGAGCAGAGTAAATTGGATAGTGGAGCTCAGATGGCGATCGACAGCTAAAAAGACAAAAGCGAGAGAGAGAGAGAGAGAGAGAGAGAGAGTTCAAAGACAGCAACCCATTTTAACTACAGAATCACGCTAAAACCGACAAAACATCGAACCCCAGTACCCAAATTGCCACACAATCGAAACTACAACTTCGTTTGCCCTGTACTCTCACCATGCCCCTCGGACAATAAAATCTCTAATTCCACTTACATTCCCATTCGGAGTGACCCCAAACTTCATCAGACAAGCACTGCCCTCCGCTTCCGCACGCTTCAGATCGCTAAGAAGCTCAGGAGTGAGGCGAATTGCCATAGCAAAAGGCCGGACCCCATCCTCATCGAACTGTTGCAGCTGGAACTTCTCATCTTGAGGTGGCGGCCCTGCGCCCCGCACCCCGGCACCGCCATCCCTGCCCCCTAACCTCCCCTTCCCCATGCCTACCGTACGCTCCTTCATGCCCCCTCGCATTCCCCCTACACCTCCACCCAACTGCTGCATACGCGGCTGCAGCAAGGCCATGCCGCGACCCAGCGGGGGAGGGCCCGTATCCTTCATGCCCCGCATGGACGAGCCGCGGCCCCCGCCCCCCGCCCTCCCAAACTTAGAGTTCATCCTCGCTAGGGTTAGGTGCTCATGGCGCTCCTGGCCACTTTGCGTCTGCAACTCCTCCGCTGATCTGCGTGTCGCTGTGCCGGCTCAACGAGCGCCTCGCCATGCCAAAGCCGAAGGAACCTACAAACGCTAAAACCAAAGACAGAAGAAAGAGCCACGCACATCCATGGCCCGGGTCGCTCGCTCACGGCCACAGGCAAACAACAAACGAACAAACAGTGGACGAGGCCTCACATTCGACACCTCCGCCTCCTCCGCAGGCTCGCTACGTACGAAACCATCACCCACGAAACAACTTGCTTCACAACCCTCGACCCCCCCCCCCCGCCCGCCCCCCCAAGTCATACAGACAGACATACATAGATACATACATGCACGCATACATTCCCGGTCCACATCCTCCACATCCCCATCTTCTCATTCGTAGATAAGACCCCCCCTCCCCCTGGGTTCCCGTTCCCGTTTCCGTTCTCCGCCCCGCCCCCCCTGGCCACCAAGATCTCGCCCAGCAGCGTCCCGGGCGACAGTGCTAGCGGACCAACAGGGCCCCCCCCAGCGCATCTTCCTTCTTCTTCACTTTCGTAGATGAAGAGAGACCCCGACCCCACTTCGTTCCTGCATCCTGGTCGCAACATGGGCTGGCTTTGCCTTTGCCTTTGCTTTGCTTTGCTTTCCTTCCGTCGGGTCCCGATTGGAACCGCCACCCAGGATATGCCCTAATTAAAATTAAAACAGAAGAAAGCACACACACAGTGCAGCACCAGCACCAGCTGGCTCTCCCGTCCCCCTCTAATCCCCCTCTATCCACTCTATCTACCCCTATGGACTAGGCTGGACAGGGCATGGCTGGACTCTTCCGATGATGATGCTGATGATGAGGAGGATCTCCTTCGCGAAAGTCCCCTCCTGCCCTCACCCTCCCCCACCTTTCATCTCTTCTAGTGGATGGATTCCCCTCCAGTTGTTGTGCCACAACAAGCTCGTCTGCAATCCCTCCCCCCTCCCCATCTAGCAGAAGCTGTGTCTCCATCTTGTTATTCTGATGCTTATTATTCCTCCACTTGTTTTAATCCCCACACTCCCCTCTCCTGCTGCACTGTTCGATTCCAAGGAATTCATCCCCTTTTTTTTTTTTATCTCACTCTCTCTCTGCACTGATTACACCACCACCACCACTGTTTCTCATCCTGCAACCCAATCTTCTTTGCACCCCTTGTCCAGTATGTTTTCCATTCTTATTATTCTTATTCTTATTCTTATTTACTTCAGTGTTATCTAAAAATGTAACGGTCTTCCTTCATTTCTGTAAAAAACAAAGTACCTCCAATGCCTTGTTTTAAATTAAGACCAGCTAAATACATCAAGTTGGTATATACCCCAAAATGATAAACAAAAAAAATTCCTTGTGATTTTCACTAAGTTTCAATACATCTGAGGAACAAACATAAAAATAAATTTTCGTGAAATGCTATATTTTAATGGTTACACATGGGTACTGTAATATATACTTACTATTAACTATATGACTATTAACAACACCACCACTTATACTAGAATTGTTGTGGATTATATTCACATAGCTCTCTATCTATCTTCAAAAATAGTATAACTATGCTCGACCATTGCACCTCAACTTTATGGAATATTACCCCCATCACTTGAAATTTTCATCAATTTGTGTGTGTAAATCATGATTCATGAATAACAAGTGTTAACATACAGAACTGTTGTACAGCCCATCCAAATTATGCGTGTGACATTATAATAGTATTTTTCTTTTTCTTTTTGTGTGTCAAGTAAAAAAGAAGAAGGAGAAGAAGAGAAAAGATGAAGCAACAGAGGAGCAAACCAGGGCTGGGGGGAGACATGGAAATGAAAGTGGAGTGTAATAGGATGGCTGTGGGGAATATATATATATATATATATATCTATACACACATACATATTTGTATGTGTAGGTACGTCATTAGGGTGCATCACTTGGATTGGGTTGGATACATTTTTATATACCACACTACCACATCCTCTTTCCCTTCCTTTCCTTTCTCATTTCATTCCCATGTTGTTTGGCAGCCAAAGGGTTGCCCACCTGACACATGTTATCCTTATTCTTTTCCTTTTGTTTTGTTTTCATACTTTTTTACTATCCTGAGGTCCGCTTTCTCTTTTACATAAAATTGATATACACCTACTTGCAAATGAACAGAAGGATCAAAAAGAAGAAGAAGAAAAACAGAAGAAATGAAACCACGCAGTGCCTCACTTTCTCCCTCACACATTTCTTTCTTTTTGTCACCTTTGCTGGTGGATTTTCACACAATACCACAAACCCTCTCTCCTGGTTTGTGTGTGTATATATATACACTAGTGGAAACCCGTGCCATTAGCCATGGAAAATGTGTCAAAGTTTAATTTATAGTTGCAAAGTAAAAAATTGACCACTTCTAAAGAAATATTTTCTAAAAGAAAAAGAAAGAAAAAGACAAGAAAAGAAAAGAATAGAATATGTGAATAATAATACAACCATTTATATTTCTTCATTATAATTGGCAAATATACTTTTATAAAATAAAATAGAAAAATTATAAGAACTTTTGGATAAATTACATTTACAATGGTATTTTGTCTTCATTATTTTCAAGATATAGGATCTTCATCATACACAAAGAAGTGCATTGTGAAAGGACAATATACAATTGTTCATGTACAAATATTATGATTCTAAGATCTATTCCTATATTCTTCAATGTTTATCTTTGAGATTTATTAATAGTAATTATAAATCCTATATTTATTGGAAATTACCTTTGTTGCAACTTAAAAGAAATTTCTTCAAATGATGGATATAATGTGATTATTGGAAGAAAAGACAACTATCCTTTGTAGTCGCCAAATAAAACTCTTGCTTTATAACTTGATCAATAAGCTACATAATAATTAAGTGTGATTCATTGCAAAATCTTTGATATAAAGTAATGTCTTGTAACAATATAATAGAATATCTAACCTTTAGTTCCAAGCAAAATGATAGAAATTCATATGGACTTAAACTATTTAAATATTTAATTAGATAATAATTACCATTATCGATACCATCTTCCATAATTGCTACATTTGCATTGAAATAAATACGAGAAACTTCACAAAACCTCTCTATTATTTACTTGTTTAAATCATTGACATCATAATTTTTGCAAATAAAATTGACTTATTGATGAAATATTCATCTCTAAGTATTTCCTATTAGTCCTTTCAAAAAATATAGCTTTCGAAGATTTTTATCTATTAAAAAAAAGATATATAAATATGTGTTATGTTATTTATCATTCAAATTTGGCACACATTCTCATATTATTTGTTTTAGCTTGTCATGACTTTATGCTATAAGCTCTATAAATATTTGATTTTTAGCATTTTCATTCAAATTTTCTTCGAAAATGGCATCAATAAAAATATTTCTAGTATTTTGTTTGATTCTTGAAGAATTTCATCAAGAAGAAATAGTCCATAATCTAATATCTCTCTTTCTATTGACCTCTCAATTCCATAATTTTGAATCAATTGATAATCAATCATCACAAAAACTTTGTTTAAACTTATTCTATAGCTCTTTTAGGTGTATAGCAAATAATGTTCTTAATTGCTTCTATGTTTTCATTATGGAGGCTTCTTCTAAGCATTAATTCTAGTCTTTGTCATCTTCTAATAATCCCATTTTTAAGCATTCACTTTTAAAATTTGGTTGTAGCACTCCATTTACAATACAAAAATCTTCAAATGAATGTGGTTCTTTATTCCATAATTAGAAGAAGCCAAAGATAGAATCTTTTTTTTACATTAGTATCAACAAAATATAATTTTTTAATTATAAATCCATGTTATCTTATTGTCTATTTTGATGAGGTCTTATTCTGCACAAAATGGTGTAGAAACTCTTGATACTTGTATTGCTAAGAAATCTCTATAGGTTCACACATTTCAAAAAATACTATCAAAGTTGTTTTTTTTCCACTTTTTACGTGCTAAGACTTTTGCTACATCATCATTTGGATAAAAAATTACTTGATGCATTCTAAGAAGATGCAATATTGATTGAATCACATTTGAAACTTCTTCATGCATTTTCATTCCAAACAAATATCATGTTGTCTTTGGAGCTCAAATGTATCATGCATCAATATATTGCTTGATCTCATTTGCTTCATTTTTAATTTGCATGGTTATATAATTATGTTCTTTATGAATATACTTGTGAATATATTTCACACTACAAGTTGAAGTACAAACCTCAATGTTAATATGACAATTATACTTTTTTCTAAGAGTAGGATTGTATAAAATAACATCTCTATTATGCACAATATTATTGCCAACATTAAAAGTCCTATCATTTTTTCAATAATATTGGAGATAGTCATTACTATTCATTGATGTTACTTCTTGATATTCTTTTGGAGATTTTTTTTGACATATTCCATCCTTCATACATGGAACTTGCATATTTCAAGGTCCATATGAATTATAAACCATGCAAGTGCTAATCGGCTCAAATAACAATGGATCTTCTTCTTCAATAGAAAACTTTGCATTAATGATTCTATCAACATAAGTTGAATTTTTTGCCTTGTTATTTTGTTCAAAAAATAGTAAAAAGTGCATATGTAGAAGATCTCACTTCTGAAATTCAATAGTATACACTCTTATAAGTGCATGTTTTAAAATGTGATATTTATAAATATATTCAATCAATGCATGATGCTTGAATATAAAATAATCCTGCTACTAAGTTGGAACAATTCTTAGGTCTTTATCTTAAAAGAAGTGCACTTGAGATCTCTAATCATTGAAAATTTTTAATTATTATATCAAATACATTTGAGTATTAAAAATATTGAATAATAGCTATAAAATCTTAAAAAATCTCAAATAGGTTTATTGTACTTTCAATATGAGAAGACAAAAGAATTATCTTCCATCCTAAATTTTGCATGTCAACTTCTTGGTTTTGCACATCTCTTAAAATATTTGACAATCCTTAATATGCATCTACATGTAACTTTTTTTGATTCATACTAATGTATCTCAATCAATTATATTCTATAATTTTCAAAACATCCATAATAAATTCTTATAGGAACTTTTTACATCCTAAGATAGTTGAATATTCATTATATTATGGAAATAATTGATATGAATAAAATTTCATTTGAATAATATATGCAATTTGCATATTTTTACTCCTATCTTCATTAACATTCATGTTTCTATATCTCATTTGGTTATGCCATCCAAGTTCTTTGCATGGAGAAAAAATA